AACGACTAATTTATAACCGAAGCACGGCAAATTATAAACAAATGAAGAACGAATTGATTTGATGATACCAGAGTGATAAGAGTGACTGCTGATCATGACTTCCTAATGTTTGTCTATACTGAATGTACATAGCTCTCGGGTACAAACACGACGCGTGTATAAGACGCGGCATGCGTAACCCGTTAATGGACGAATATGCTCGTTTGGATCGCGATCGATCGTATAAATCGTGTCACTTATCTTCGGCGTTGATTATTCGTTGAAACGTAATATAATCGCCGCGCGATCTGATAATAACAATTGCACGCGCAGGATAGATAGGAACGAGTATCCTCCGTGAGAACGTAAGCCGGGTATTGCGTGTAGCTCGCACCCTGGGAGTGATAACCGAGATAGTGTCACTCGCCTAGCTAATTACTAGTCACCAACTATACGGCTCCAGGGAGCGAAACTCATGAATGAAGGTCTCTCTGCGCGCGTGTTACACCGGCGGACGGCCCGCTCGCCGGGATCTTGACGGCTGCATAATGCAGGAATAAGGATACCGTGTCCGCTGGTCATCAATCTATATGATAATATTTTGGATCCGGCTGTGATTAGCATTACGGATCTTTAGTCGCCTCTGATAGATAGCGATGAATCCACGTTCTCGCCGAACTTTCCCCGTCGCCTTTCTTGCGCCTTGCCTTTTGGCAGCTTTCCTTCGGAAAATTTACATGACATATCTTTGCATCGAACGGAATTATTCTTTCTGCGAATACTATTGTAGGTGTATTCGTATTTTATTCATGCATCTGTCTGTTGACGTCGCCGGCTGTACCAGCAGCGAATCAGCAAGAGTTGCAACTGCATGCGCACGTTGCCGGAGCACGTCAATTCGAGGCAAACAATCAGGTTCTCGCGCGTGGAACGGGAATCTGATTGACACGGAAAGCACGTTTCTGCATTCTTCTTCGTCGAATACATGTAGAATTGTTTTTTTCGAAGATTTGTCGATGATTTTTCATGCCGTCGGTAACGATCTATCCTCCGATGAATATTAATCGATCATAATTGTTTCTACCGTCTACCAGTTAATGCAAATCGCCATGGATCTTTTGTTATTATTTTTACAGCTTGTATCCATCTTTCAGACACTCTGCTATTCTCTCTGTTCACCATTCTGCAGCCTAATTATTCCCTCATTTTCTATGAATCTTTCTTTCGTATTTTTATTTCGACAATGCTCGCACTTGTGGGCGTTATATAATCCATTATTTATTATATTTCCTTTTCTGAACTTTAGAGTGCACTTTAGAGTCGCTGGAAACGTATTAAGTATCAATATCCGTCGACTGCTCGTCGACGAGCCGATCGTTAATCCAGCGTGCGGCACGCGCACGATAAATGCATAATGCAGTTTCGACCTGCATAACGCGGGACTGCAAACTCCGTGCACGTGTGCACCTGCGGGCACATGCGGCCAGACGTATGCACCGCAGACTACGCAACAGCAAACAACAGGAACGGGGGCTGGTTAGGCCTGCCAGAATGCAGGCCGCCGCATGGAATCGCGACGTCGTCTTGTTTCGAAATATTCATCGCGCGAAATAAAAATATTCGATCGATATCCCGCGTCGGGGATTCAACGAATCGTGCCGGTCGAATTGATTGTATTCGCCGATCCACGGGTGAACAGATTTTATTCGGCGAATTGTATGTTTTCTGGACCGTTGCCGGCCGCCGACGAATTAACGAAAAATATAAAGTTACATCGTTTAGATTTCCCGGCAAATGAACCAGCATTTTCGGGCCGCTCGTCGGTTATTTATTCGCGCGGCAGAGGTATATTTCCCTGTTCGACGAGCATCGAATATTTTTTAGCAGATGATTAATCTTTATGGGCCGCGGCCGCGCGTTTCGTTGGGCCCTGTGAAAGGGCCTCGACGTCGATGTAATTGATGCCGTGTCGAACGTGAATGGGAAACCCCCGGAACGCGGTGTAAGCGTCCGCGAATGGTGCTCCGGAACGAAATTGCTCGTAAATTCCGTGACGAAGAATCTTTTATCTCTTAATGTTCTCTCCCGCCCATCCCTCGTCGCGCTTGGCACTGTTACAAGATAAGGAACGCCCGGCCCTCTTCTTAATCTCCACTTTTTCACCTCGTTCGGCTCCGCTGCCAGCTGATTCTGTGTAGCTCTGACTTACATCCGAAACATGCCGTTCAATTTCTCTAGCGCCGGTGCGCTGCTGAATTCAATGAAAAGCACTAACCTGAAGTAACAACTGCGACCGAATTCAATTATTGCAACAGCGTTGGAAGAACTTCGTGGATTTGTCATTTAACTCGTTCCGCTGGAACGTAGGTATGCAAATGTGACGAAAGGACTGCGGATTTTATGCTTTTAGGACAGAAACGCATAGGTCAAATAGGAAAATGGATAAACGTTAGAGAAATTTAAGGGTATCGTTACATTAACTTCAAGTGATTATAATTATTAAAAAGGAAATAGTATTTTCATCTAACATATTTCCGACAGTTTTTATTTCGCACAACGATCCGCTGTATAGTGTTAAGAAACAATAGAATACATCATTTAATAATCGGACATATCGCACGAGTCGACCATGGTCAGACAAGAAATGTAATTTGATCATTAATCAAACAAGCAGTACCGAATGTTAATCAGTCAATTTTTAACCAAATGAGTAGCACCGAAAGGCACAAACAAATTCAAATACAGTAGAATAGATTGGTCAATGATCAGACAATCTATGTGAGTTTACCATGTTAAGACAAGTAGAGTATGTTATTAATCGAACAAAGAGCATAGATCGATCATTACGCACGCCGTACAATAATTATATTTTCAATCAAATAAATAGTATGCAAAAGCAGGTTATCAGGAACAGTAGAACTGATTCGTCAATGGTCAGACTAGTAGTATAACTCTGTTATGATCAGAAAAGTAGTATGATTCGATCATAATTAGACAAGTAGTAAGATTCTGCCATAGTCGAACAAGTAGTACGATTTTATCATAATCAGACAAGTAGTACGATTCTATCATACTCAAACAAGTAGTACAATTCTGCCATAGTCGAACAAGTAGTACGATTTTATCAGAATGAGACAAGTAGTACGATTCTATCGTAGTCGAACAAGTAATACAATTCCATCCTAGTCGAACAAGTAGTACGAGTCTACCATAGTCAGAAAAGTAGCCGAGACCCTCGGTTAGCCTCTGAAAAAGGTATAATTAGGAATAATAAGGAAACTAGGAAAAATGTCTCTAATTGAGATTCATGAAAGCATTCAACACACTTCTCTGCGATTTCTCAATTCCCGAAACTGTCGCGGAAGCAAATGGAAGCACAATTCACGTTTGTTGATCTAGAAGAGCGCGGATTTGCCCGAAGCTGCAGTAAAATTCTCGATTACCCACAGCGCTGTAGAGAAGGTGATACAGAGGATTGGAAGACCGTTCCAGTGGCTGCGCCAGGCCATACATTTTCGTTATCCCGGTGGTCGAAAGGGTGTTGCGGTTACACGCGGACCGGAGACACCGGGCGGTCGGTGTTCGACAGTTTTCACGTGCCACCGCCCCCAATTTTTCTTCCGTGTTCCAGTCACCGAGCCATCCGACCGGTTCGCCGATTGTAACCGGAGCCGTGGCTTGGACAGCTGTTGGAAACTCTGCTCGGAGTAGCCGCGAAAGTTTTCCCGAGTAGGGCGATTGGTTTCCGTCTGAAAACAGCTTTCAGACACCAATTACCGGTCCGCTCGGTGCAGTCGGACGGTGGTCGCCCGACCGACAACTGGATCTCGCGTCAGGGCACTGCTCCTTCAGGAGTTCCGAGGCCGGTATCCTGAATTAGCGGACGTTCGGGTGCCCGGCCATTGTCTGTCGCCGGGAGCACCTGGAGCAAGCACCTCGTCGTTGTACAGTCCGGGCAACGACGACGACGACGTGGCAGATGTCGTTCCATCAATTATCTGTCAGACACGCGCGACCGATTTCATTTTTCAAGTGGACGTCGACTTCGAGACATCTGCTCTTGAAGGGTGTAGATTTCGTTCCCCGATTTTTCCCTCGAGGATCGAGACTCCAGGTTCAACTCCGTTCCTTGACATTACCTTTGTGCGCGCGCGTGTGTGCTTTAAAGACGAAAATGTAGTGACATATTTCTCGCGTTCGTTCTAGCTGTCATCGAGACATATAATCGCCAATAAACTAGAATTAAATGTGCTGCGACACATTGGACTTTCTCGTCTCATAAGTGTGTCATGCTGTAAAATAAGTTAGAAACACGTTATGCGTACAATCCTCAGTCGTTCGTGAATCCCTTATCAGAAAAGTAGTGCGAACTGGTTATTAGTCAAGCAAGGGATATAGGTCGACCAATAATCGGGCAAGTGGTCGACGATTTGTATTTCTAATTAAATAAGTGACATAAGAAACGATGTAAGTTCAGTAGAATAGGTTCACCGATTATCAGACAAGTGGTATGAATCCATCACGATCAGACAAGTAGTACATTTCTGCGATACTCAGGCAAGTAGCAGTCATGATTCTGTCACAGACAAACAAGTAATACGATTCCATCATGGTCAGACAAGTAGAAAAATTATGTCATAGTCAGACCAGTGGAACGATTCCGCAACAGTCAGACAAGTAGTACGATTCTGCAACAATCAGGCAATTAGTACGATTCTGTAACAGTCAGACAAGTGTTACGATTCCATCATTGTCAGACAAGTAGAAAGACTATGCCATAATCAGACTAGTAGTACGAATCTGCTAGAATCAGACAAACGATTGTCTCTTATCTCAGACGCAGTATAACCACCACTCGGATAAGGAAAATGTATTTGTCCCAAGTAAAATATGTCTGCAGATAAATTCGACTCTATTCCAGGCAAAACCAACGCGCTGATTTCCGTGCAATTTTTTAGCCGCTGAATTACGCCTCCGAGTAGAACGTTCAAGTTTCTAACGAAGTTATTTTGTTGTTCCAGGCTCGAAGCACGAAGCACGTCGGAACGATGTGAGAGGACTATATGGGTGAACACCAACCTGGCAAGGAATACTCGACGAAATCACGAACACGTGGCGAGACGTGAAGCGGGGTGAGTGCCACGCTGACATTGAAATATCGTTGTATATTCTCGCGACACCCGTTACGTTTCCGTCGTCGTCGTCGTCGTGCCCACTCCGCCCCCTCCCGCGCCGTTTCCACGGAATAAAACGTCGTGCACCGAATCCGCAAAGACAGATCTTAGACGCGGTACATTAGCCTCTCTTGTACGGTTTCCCGCTAAGAAATTGGATTTTGAGACGCCACCTGGTCAGGGATTACCGGTTGCTGAAGGCCCCAGGCCCGAAGATAAACGGCCACGGCATTCGGATAAATAAAATTCCCCGGAAGCCCGGGCGAGCCTTGAATTTCCAGGTTCGGCCAGTTCCGGGGGTGTATCGAGTTTCGTCTCACGTATCCCAGACGGGAAGCCACTGGATGACGAATAAAGAATGGAAACCGAGGCGATAGCAAAGGGTTCCGTCGCCAGCGTTCGACGGATAAAAAACTTCTCTCTTTCTCCGCTGTCTCCCCGTGTCTCTGCCACGGACGACTCTCTCTCGGATAAGGTGGAAGCGGATGAGCCGCGGCGGAACGCAACGATGTTTATACGTCGAAGCGCGGCTGAATCGCTGTCAGTCAAATTGACGTTTCCGACGCACGGAACCTCCGAAACGCCGACGTGATCGAAGAATGTGTTATGCGGCCGGGTGCACGGTGCAGTGCTACGTTTGGAACGAAAGGTTCCGCCGGCATTTGAGACCGTTTGTTGAGCAGAACGTGAATAATTTCTGCCTCGAGCTGCTCCGCAACATTCCCGGCTAACCGAAATGTCCCGACTCCGATTCCGATCGCGGGACGACTGCACGGGTAATGCATTTCTAAAACAATGCCTGACGTTTCCTGCTCTCGGAGCTTCGAGGCCGGAATAACAAAAACTGGATTACAAATGCACGCGAAGCTGGGACGAGATGACGCAGGGGACGCAGGTCTGCGTACGATCATTTACAGTATCCGGTGAAAGTCCTGACTCTGTCCCGTACAAACGGAATAAGGATAATCCTCGACTGAATTAGGGTAACTGAAGCGCAATGCCGCCGGTGGCATGGAACGAGACCCGACTGTCTGCTCGGACCAGACAATTAGAAAATCCGGTTAATTAACAAGTGAAATAGGAGCCCTCCTAGTCAGGCTGATACAGTCGAATCCTCGCATGATTGCGGAAGCGAATCCTTGCAGAATAGGAGAGCCAGACGAGAAGACACCTGGCTCGATAAGTGGAACAAGTCGTCGTTGGTCGGACGAGATTATCGCCGAAGCTGTCGAATGTTTTACCTTACCTTCTGCCATTTTATCTGGCTCGACAGCCAATTTGTCGATACGATTTCCCTTCTTCTTTCAAAAATGAATTAATTCGTTATTATTAAAAAATAACAACTCTCCTTTCTTGGTTCGTTAAGTGCTCGACTTTCGTCACTTTTCGCGAACGATCATCAAAAAAGTCGAACGCAACGTAGACTCTCTCCGAAATGTAAATGTACAAAAGGAAATTTTTTGCGAAAGATAAAACCTTTACAAAACTGCAGACAGTCGCTCGGAGATCATATTCAACGGGAATACGATATAATTTACGGAAAAATAGAAATACAGCGAGATTGAAAGTGTTCGCTGATTCCTGGATCTTCTGAAATACTGTTAGCATAAAAGAGACAACGATGCGGCATTCGACTGTTTGTCATAAACACGGTAACTGTTTTTAACAGTTAAAGAGGCTGCAGTTACAATGTATTCTGCTTTGGTCGTAGACGACGCGGAGCGTTACATTTCAGTTACATCGCCGTATATTGCCGTTACGCATCACGGTGTTTACTCACTTTTCTTGCTCGCCGTATTTCCCGGCGTTGCAGCGGCATTTTGGCAGACGGCGGTCGCAAAAAGAACACGCGAACCTGCCAACAATGCGACCGCGGGAGCACGGATGGCTGGTTCTTCTCGAGGCGGGGCCCGAAAGCCGCAATTTTATTTGCAATTGCGGCTCACGAATTTGCTTTGAAAGTATCCGCAAACTCGCTCGACAGAGAGGCGACGGAGCGAGGCGCTTGGCGGAGATTAGAACGCCGCGACGAGACGTGCCGCGGTGGAGAGCGAGCGGTCCGCTCGATCTAGCCGTCACAAAAGGATCGAGAAAAAGAGTGAACAGAGCGAGAGAGAACGAAAGAGGGAGAGAGGGAGAAAGAAAGAGTTGGAAAGAGTAGATACCGGAATCGACGGAAAGAACGCGGCGAGGCCAAGCCCATTGGAAAATAGAACGAGACAAAGCGATCGCTCGGCGTCGGCCGCGATTCGATGCTTTCTGGCTTTCGGGCGGCGTCAAAGGACGAAAATTGAACCGCAGGAAGCTGGGACCGCGATCCAGAAAAGTTTCGTGATCGCCGGCGTGTGGAATTCCTCGCGGGAAGGGGTGAGAGAGTCGATGCTACGGTGGAAACGGGAAAATAAGGCGAAGGAAACGGGATCCTGCGGGAGATCGGTCCCCCGATGGAACCACGGTTCGCGATTCGAAATAGAAACGTCGATACAAGCATTCAATTAAGCGTCCCCGCTAGCTTATTTCCGATCTGCTATCGATGATCGAGACCGGCCCGAGTGGGGAGCCACTCCTTTCTTCGTTGATGAAAGAACAGCGTAATAGAACATCGTGCTCGTCCGCGAAGCGAAACGTCAATAGCCGGTTCCACCGTGGCCAACTCGATGATCGGTACCCGGAAATTTTCTATTTGTGTTTTGAGGCTATTACCGATGATTGAAGGGATAAAAGGAAGCTCTCCCTCTCCCTCTCTCTGTCTCTTTCTCTCTGTTTCTCTCTCGACTGGCCCGGGCTTCGGCTCGCAGACTAGAGTAATAGAGACGGTTCCGTTCCACGAAGGAACGCCTCGATCACGTTTCAACAAATTAAATGATCGTAGCTCGTGCTCGGGCATACCCGAGGAGCAGTTTCATCCCTTTGCCGGGCCGGAATGGAGCGGACGGGACAAAGGGAAGCCGCTCGAACAATGTGACTGGCTCATTAACAAACCGCCGCGGCGGACCTGTTCACGGATAATGAAACTTTTCGTTAGTGTCACGTTTAATGATCCCGTACGACCGACTAACGGTCCGCGTGTAGTCCGGCGGACCTGTTCGCATCGGGAATCACAGGTACAAACGAGCCCGCGAGAAAGTAAAAACGATCCGCAGACTTTTTATGGATCCGAGCGGTGCCCGAACTATTTCTCAACTTTGCCGAACTCTCGGCTGTTCAAAGAACTTTTTTTCGGAATGGAACTACCGTGATCGTGAAGAGGGAAGTCTCCTCTTTCCGACGAGCCGAAAAACATGGATCTGCGTTCTCTTTTTTGCTGGCATTTTATCGCCGCTCGAATGAAACCCGCGATGTCGGTAGTTGCATGGCCGACGAAATTCGAATCGGTTCGTTGACAGTAGAATTTACCGAACCAGTTGCAAGATGATTCGATGCTTTCTTTTATATTTTTTAACGTTTTAAAAATGTTTCTGTGACATATTTTTAGATGATCTTCTTCGGTCAAGCGTATATTATAACAGGAATTACAAGCGAGAAAATCCAATGTTGTCATTATTGTCTCTCGCCCAATGCATGAATACTTAATAAAATCGTGAAATTTTCAGAAATCGTGGAATACTTTCCGTTGAAGAAACTTCTAAGCTTTAATATTATACAAACAAATTTATCGTAATTTTTCATTGAACGCGCTTTCAAATACATATAAATCTTAAGTCGTGATATATCTGCTTTGAACGTAGAAATTATAATCGGAAACGAAATGGCATGGCAAGACATCTGTAGATGCATAATAAAACTACTGTATAAGTTTTTGTGTGAAACGGCTGTGATATAAATTTTTCACACGGTAGAAAGATTTAGGTGTTCGTTTATTGGATCTATCGCTTTGTCACCGGTCTGACCAGTTTGCCTCTTGAATCACTTGTTTCTCTACTCGTGAACCTAGAAAATTCAGCGTAGAATTACAATAAATTCTCCCGAATTGTAAACAAAAGCTCGTAAACAAAACTGGACAATTTCGGAAGAGGAAATGCGATTATTCAAACCTTGTATCTCGTTTTTACAATTATCGACAATTCGTCCTCTCCCCAAATTNCGAAGCGAAACGTCAATAGCCGGTTCCACCGTGGCCAACTCGATGATCGGTACCCGGAAATTTTCTATTTGTGTTTTGAGGCTATTACCGATGATTGAAGGGATAAAAGGAAGCTCTCCCTCTCCCTCTCTCTGTCTCTTTCTCTCTGTTTCTCTCTCGACTGGCCCGGGCTTCGGCTCGCAGACTAGAGTAATAGAGACGGTTCCGTTCCACGAAGGAACGCCTCGATCACGTTTCAACAAATTAAATGATCGTAGCTCGTGCTCGGGCATACCCGAGGAGCAGTTTCATCCCTTTGCCGGGCCGGAATGGAGCGGACGGGACAAAGGGAAGCCGCTCGAACAATGTGACTGGCTCATTAACAAACCGCCGCGGCGGACCTGTTCACGGATAATGAAACTTTTCGTTAGTGTCACGTTTAATGATCCCGTACGACCGACTAACGGTCCGCGTGTAGTCCGGCGGACCTGTTCGCATCGGGAATCACAGGTACAAACGAGCCCGCGAGAAAGTAAAAACGATCCGCAGACTTTTTATGGATCCGAGCGGTGCCCGAACTATTTCTCAACTTTGCCGAACTCTCGGCTGTTCAAAGAACTTTTTTTCGGAATGGAACTACCGTGATCGTGAAGAGGGAAGTCTCCTCTTTCCGACGAGCCGAAAAACATGGATCTGCGTTCTCTTTTTTGCTGGCATTTTATCGCCGCTCGAATGAAACCCGCGATGTCGGTAGTTGCATGGCCGACGAAATTCGAATCGGTTCGTTGACAGTAGAATTTACCGAACCAGTTGCAAGATGATTCGATGCTTTCTTTTATATTTTTTAACGTTTTAAAAATGTTTCTGTGACATATTTTTAGATGATCTTCTTCGGTCAAGCGTATATTATAACAGGAATTACAAGCGAGAAAATCCAATGTTGTCATTATTGTCTCTCGCCCAATGCATGAATACTTAATAAAATCGTGAAATTTTCAGAAATCGTGGAATACTTTCCGTTGAAGAAACTTCTAAGCTTTAATATTATACAAACAAATTTATCGTAATTTTTCATTGAACGCGCTTTCAAATACATATAAATCTTAAGTCGTGATATATCTGCTTTGAACGTAGAAATTATAATCGGAAACGAAATGGCATGGCAAGACATCTGTAGATGCATAATAAAACTACTGTATAAGTTTTTGTGTGAAACGGCTGTGATATAAATTTTTCACACGGTAGAAAGATTTAGGTGTTCGTTTATTGGATCTATCGCTTTGTCACCGGTCTGACCAGTTTGCCTCTTGAATCACTTGTTTCTCTACTCGTGAACCTAGAAAATTCAGCGTAGAATTACAATAAATTCTCCCGAATTGTAAACAAAAGCTCGTAAACAAAACTGGACAATTTCGGAAGAGGAAATGCGATTATTCAAACCTTGTATCTCGTTTTTACAATTATCGACAATTCGTCCTCTCCCCAAATTGTCCATTTTTGTTTGCAAGCTGAAGGAAAATTAGGGAGAATTTACTGCTGTTCTCTCGTCATTTGCCATCTCAGCATCAGCGTTTCCAGCCGCTCTAACTGAATTCTAGGGAACAAGGGCCCTCGGAACGACAACATACGTCGAACACTGATAAGCTTATCGCGTTACAGAGCCTCCGGTTGAATATTTCCTCTCGTCTGCGCCAGAAATGAAAAGTTCCCATCCCCCGCGGAATTAACATCGAGACCGCAACGAGTGACACACGCGGCGGCAAGCACGCCGCTTCGCAACACCTGTATCTTCCCTTTCCGTGCAATTTAGCATCGACCCAGACACCATCCACGTTAAAAGGGCGCACACGTTGCCGCGGGACCCGGGTCCCGGGACAGAGTTGTGCGGCATCCGCGTGAGACCCGCGTGCACGGGTCGGTATGCGTTTTAATTAAATTTTCACAACAACAACGGCGGCCCGAGTGCTCGTCTCACTCGTAATGCCGCGCGCACACGTGCGCCAACGACGGCGTACGCTACGTAAAAGTAGGCGCGCACCTGTCCTTACGCGAGCCGGCTAATAACTGCTTCACCTTTGTGCTCGCACGCCACCCTCAGGAAGAGAGTATTAACAACACTGTTGCGCCGTTTCCCCGCGGTTACGCTTAGTGGGCGGCGTGCATGATTAATTTTCCGGACGCGGACGAAACATCAGGCGCCTAAAACACGGTTAAAGGGGGCGTTTTTCCCTTCTCGGCGACGCGGCCGTCGCGCCGCGCGCGAACATTGCAATTTTTATAGATAAAATGTTACGCTGCTTTCGGAATGTTGTATCGTTCTCTCGCGAGAGAACGGTGGACGATTTTTTAACGTTGAAAGACCAGCGACATTTTTCTGACGGTTGTGAAATTTTGTGCTCGCAGAAGTTATGCTTTCTATTGGAAAAATATCGAATCGAGTGCTTTTTTTAGCAACTTTGCAAAACGAAATATTGTTGGAAAGCGAAACAACTTTTTGCTTTGCACTGGTATCTTTTCCTGGATATTATGAAACACAGGAACATCGGAAAATGAGGCGAAAGGATATCTATGCACAGCTTTGTCAATACAGTCTAAGTAGAATAAGTATACCATAAGTCAGACACTCGAAATAAACTCTTCCATTAGCTTCTTCTATTGAAAATTGAGTGACCAGTGACTGAAATAAAGTGTCCAGTAAAATAAAGCGTCAAGTGACTGGACACTTTATCTGTATTTTTGTTAAAAATATCGTTATTTAATTTTTTGAGTAATATTATCATAAGTAGCGCAAAATTTTACTATTAACTGTAACTTCATACATTCCTAAATAGCTAGCAATGATAACTGGTAGCAATTATTTGATGCGACTTTTTTTAAAAAAATATATATATACATGTAGTATAACATTCAATAAAAAAAATACGCGAAACTATCAACGCGTGAACACTCAATCAAATCGACAAATTTATACAGATTGACACGTACAAGAGATCCGTACGCGTGTAATAGTAAATTACTATATTAAATATCGATGTGAAAAGTGCATAATAATCGTTGTTTTCTCATGTTCATTTATTCATTGCGAGTGATCATGCTACGGACCACAAAATACTTGTAGCTAAACAGAAATCGAATCGGATTTGGTAGATGAAACAAAAGGATATCTCTGAACATTTTCGCCGATATAAAGGAAGTGGTATAAGTACACGAAGCGTCAGACACGCGTATCTCTCGTCGACGCGGCGCACGGTGGCTGCCGCCAGACAATCATGCAGGGTCGATATACGTCGCTCTCTCCGTACAAGTGAAATAAGTCTGTTTGTAGTCAGACAGGTAAGATGGGATTCGTACCTAGTTAGAACAGTAGATTAGAGTTCCTAGCTAGTCAGCCGAATAGGACAAGGATTCGTATCTCGTCAAACAAGCGGAACACCCGCGATGGGTGTGGCGCGGAAACTTAATTATAAGTGAAATGAGACGGTGGCGTGTCAGACAGTCTCTTCCAGCTCACTAAAGTTTGAAACTTAATTGTATGGAGAGTCGTCGAATTCCCGAGAAGCCAGTGGTTCCTATAAATCTGGAAAACGGTTATTTGAGTTCCTCGGCTTCCGAAAAACGCTTCTCGTTCGCCTCCGCTTGGCTGCCCGCAATGCCGGGGAGAGGGTGAGAGGGTGGATTGTTCGATAGCGAAGTCTCTGTTGCGCGTCTTTACCCGAGTACTGTTAATAATAGTTCCAGTTTCCCTGGAAATTTCGAACAATACAGTGCTATAAGTCAGACTCGACAGAAGTTAGAGTGATCCGTTGAATGATAGAGCACCTTGCAGTCCCTTGCAGTGCACTTTTAATTGCCAAAATAAATCAGATCTATTGTCACGGATGTCTTGCAGATGCCTTTTATAACAATTCGTCGGTTTCATTCAGTGTTCATTAATTCATTCATCATTATTTTATAGGAAGGATTTGAAATCGCATTACTTTTTTCGCTAACATTCTTAACACTTTGACTGCTGCCATATGGAATTATTTACTCAGATTAGGGAATTAATTTTTACGCTAATCTATTATAATTCAATATTGTATTGAAATGACATTATTGGACAGAACTTTCAGATAAGACCTAATAGAATTATAGAATATTATAGAATACAATGTTCTATCTAAGAATACAAATTACTCCCAATTGCACAGTGAACCGTCAAACGAATTTACTCATAATTCCACGAGAGAATTGATCGTTAAACGCTCTAAGTCGATAAAGAAAAGCAGAATTTCATTCTCTCCGTTTGTCATAGTCTTGCTCGAGGCTCGTTGGACTTCTTGCTTACCGTTTCCGGGAAACTTTCGCAAGCCATACTTATGCGAACACATTAATGACCGCGTGTTTGACGTTGATTAAGCGGGCGCCGTTAAAGGATTTCCGTCAGCCCCAGTAACAGGGGTTGTTACTCAGTGTAGCTGATACATTTTACAGCGGCTCATGAATCAGGCAATAATCCCAAGTTTTTCGGGTTGCAGCGTTGAGCCTGCTGTGCGTAAAAAAATTCTCCGGAAGCGGAACGATGCTGGAGGCGCCGCCCGGAAGTCGCGAGGACCTCGTGGAAGCAGCAAGAACACCATGCACGCCCACAGGTGAGTGCGTCATGAAGTTTATACGAAGATTTACGGGGATCTGTTAATGTAACGAGGCCGGTGCACGCGCGACACGGCCGAACAAATGCCGTTAACGAGCGGGCATTGCGCTTCTAAATAAGTCGGCCGCGCGGCTCCGGAAAGTCGAATGTCACACCGGCGACGTTTAATTTTGCTCCGGTCGGCCACGGGAAAACTGAGATATCGAGCGTGTTTATCGTAAAGTTTAAATGGAGATCTAGTGTCCCTGGTAAGCCCGACGAGCTGGGTGGTCCCGGCGAACGGACCCCGGTAGTTTCAGCCTCGTAAATCCCGCCGATAAATAATGAAAACGACGAAAACTCCTGTGTAACCCGACGACCGACCGCTGCTCGAACTTACTTCACGCGGCGAAATTTAACAACGCGTGGCCGCGACTGTCGCACACGCGAAACTGTACGCGTTTCCTTCCTTGACACCTGCACGTTCTCTGTGGAAAAGTTACTGTTCGGTCTCAAGCGGAACAGAACGTTCCTCGGGCGGAATCAAAGTTGGGCGTTATTCGGATTGTTTCGAATATTTCATTCGAATCGTTCGTTGTTCGTCGTAAATTGTTCTGTGTATTTATTCGAGTAATTCTTTATTCGAATGATTCTTTATTCGAATGATTCATTATTCGAATGATTCATTAGTCGAATGATTCTTTATTCGAACGATTTTTTATTCGAATAATTCTTGTTTCGAATAATTCATTATTCGAATAATTCCTTATTCGAATGATTCATTATTCGAATAATTCCTTATTCGAATGAGTCTTTATTCGAATAATTCTTCATTCGAATATGATTCATTATTCAAGTGATTCTTCATTCGAATGATGCATTATTCGAATAATTCCTTATTCGAATGATTCATTATTCGAATAATTCCTTATTCGAATGAGTCTTTATTCGAATAATTCTTCATTCGAATATGATTCATTATTCAAGTGATTCTTCATTCGAATGATGCATTATTCGAATAATTCCTTATTCGAATGATTCATTATTCGAATAATTCTTTTTTCGAATAATTCTTTATTCGAATAATTCCTTTTCTGAATAATTCTTTACTCGAATAATTCAGTGTTCGAATACTTCTTTATTCGAATAATTCAGTGTCCGAATAATTCGGAAAAGTAATACGTAAGAAATAAATCGATAAACTATGAAGAAACACTTGATATTCTATCATTTTTATTCCAATCAGTTATTTCCCATACGAATTTCTGCACGATTGAATTCTCATTCGAATAAAATCTTATTCGGCGAAATGAAATTCCCGACACCGCGACATTTGACATGCGGTTCTCTATTTGGCGACGCGACAATTAGCGCGGCAAGTAGCGGATTTTAGCGAAATCTCTCGAATCGAAATGTCGCGGCGACCATTCCCGCGAAACGTAAAAAGCTCCATGCATAGGGATGTCGTCGGAACGGGAGTGCCGGCGAAATTGATGGTACATGCCCGAAACAGGGTGAATTTACATGAAAAAATAAGTCGAAAATGCGGTAGCGAAATTTTCTCGCAGCTCGCTGTCGACGTTCGAAAAAATACAATTTGAATTCCGCCCGGCCGCGCGTGCTATTGAATACGGGCCCCGCCGACGCGGCTGTTCATTACGCATCGTTTCTACTTACTACAAAGCCCGAACAACGGAGCGCGCGCGCCCGATTCGTTTTCATAGTCAATTTATTCGTAATTTAAGCTTCGGGAAACGGTACTTTTTGCGTCAGCTTCCGCGGCATCGAAAAATATGTCAATTAACGGACCAACGAGCGCCGCGCTGCCGCTACAAAGAAACCAATGCGAAATGTTATGAAAATATTTCTGTTTTATCAGGGAATAAAAGGCGCGTCGCAAAATCTATTTCCACCGGGTAATCGGAAACGATCATCATGGAAAATATTCGCAGAATCTTCGAAATTGTGTCTGAAAAAATTCACGAAAATGGTGAGAGTCGTCGTAAACATCTTCAATTATATATAAACGTACTTGCAAAAATGTTCCGCCGTCCGAGGATCATTTCGGTTGACTTCAAGTTTCGAACAAAAAAAATAGCGAAAAAAACAACAGCATTAATTCCAATCGATTTCTACCGCGAACTGTTGTGCAACGAATAGTCAGACCGAGAATTTCGATGAAGTCGGACCAAATTTCGGAGTGTGACGCTGTCGGTGGCAGCCTGACTAAATATTTCGGTATGGCGGCGGCACTGGTTATTTTAAGGGACAACAGGTGTCGATATTCCGCGGGGATATTTTTCGGATTACCGTGTTCCCCAGGCTGTCGTCAGCGCGTTTCATTAAAACGGCTGCCAGCACCGGGGGCCATTCGCAGGTGCGAAAAAGCAAATCATCGGCCGGCCGGCATCAATCACCGTGATTCCGCCGGCGAGAGACCGTGGTCCGATTTTACACGGACTCGAACTACTCGGCTCCTTTATCCGGGCGACGCGAGGCGACGCGACGCGCCGGGGACAAAGCGGAATCGGAAAGGGAAGGAGACGCTGGGAACGATCGATCGATCGGACGCCGATTCCCCTCTGCTTCCTGCGAGCATCATTACCGCCGCAGGTCTGCCTGTAACGGAGCCAATGGGCTCTAAAGCGCTTTTTATCTCAATAAAGCGCCGGTGTCCCGTGATGATTGACGGTCTGACTTTGTGGCGCGTCAGCCGCGGGACAGCTGCTTTTTGTCGTCGCCGTGAACGGGGGCCGGCCTCTATTTTATTCCGCGCGGTGGCGACCGCTTCATCGGCCTCCCATCGATTTTTCATCGTAATTAAGTAATTTGCTTCTTAGCAAGTGAACGGGAGGGGAACCGGCCGGGAATCTGAACGCCGCTGATACGGCTTCCGGGATGACTTTGAAATTCTTTTAATCAAGAGGATCATGTTCTCGCGGTGCTCCGGGTGGAGCGGTATGATCCTTATAAATTAGTGGAACTTCGGGGACGAACGCGGAAGTTGTTTGGTTCTGGGCAAGAAAGAAAGCAGGAAGGGTCAATTATCAAGGCCCGCAGGGCTCGAGGGATTATTATAATTAGTTTACCGAACCTCTCCTGACGTGCTTTGACGAGGCTGACTCGCGATGGAGATCTCTGGTAATAATCTCTTCAGCGCGAACGACATTCCGTTCCTTCAGGTTCGAATAAAATCCTGTTCTTGGCAATGTTAGGGTCTAAATCTACCGAGTCGGTCGATATCACTCGTTTCACACCTTTTTTTGTTTCAAAGTTGTCGAGATTGTGAAAACACTTTCATGGAAAATGTCTGAGCGAATTTCTTAATCGAAGAATATGTTGTAAAAATGCCGGCGAATCTAAATAGATACAGTGTTTTCGTCGTTGCAAATTAACACGTGTTAGTGATAATATTTAGTTATTATTGGCAGGTTTCGCGTCTTTTTCTTCTGGCAAATTATTACAATCGAAGAGCTTCGAACCGTCGTAACTGCATAGAGAAACGAGCTTGCATCGCAAGGAATCGTAATTGTTGTTAGTAATAGCGCTCGGGGCTCGTGAAATTGTAACGAATAGCCCCGCGTAACGTAGTTAACTAGGGCCAATCATTAGTCGGACATGAAACTCACCGCTGGCTGCAAGTTTCATCGTCCTGAACTTCAAATATGAATTCTGTTTGAATGGGCCGCAGACAAATGTTTGTTGAACACCACACCGCGATTAACTGCTACGGTGATTAATGTCAGTGGAAATGGCCAGAAATGGTCAGACGGGCCCGACCAGGTTGTATCAAAGCGTACGCGCGCCGCATAAGCATTCCGACTAATGCACTTCGGTACGTGTCCCCGCGAACGAGAACTCGCGCCGCCGAATTGCTGCTGTGCTTTTTTACATTACAAATATCACCGACGATTCTTTCATCGACGCTTACATTCCGGCTTTCCTCGAATTCGCGACTCCTCTGTTACAATAGAAGCACGTGTACTCCGGGATCGCGCTCGCTCGGATTTTTCCTAGCGAACTCGAAAAACTCCGCCTTCTCGCAATTTTCCCGGGCGAAATTGCAACGTTGCACTTTGTATACGTATATGTCTATATATATATATAGCTCTTGTAAATTGACAGAAAGGTGCTGCCGGTGCTAACCGGAAGTCGAGCCGCGACGAACGGCGCGGCGTTGATCGGCTTGTTTAATCACCGGCGGAGGAGCCGGTATCGAGAATGCCGACAGTAATTGACACCACTTTCACGGCTAAACCGCTTTCCAATTTTCTCCTTATTTTCACGACATAATAACTTACCGAGGTTGACAGAGTTTAGACCCAAGGGCGGGCGTCGGCGGCGGCGGGTCGGGGGTGTGCAGGTGGGAAGGGACGCAGCCTGCACCGCGCGGCCAGTAATGGCTACGTATATATAGACACTTCTTTACAAGGTGGTGAGATAAGCTCTCATTGGCGACCGAAGCGTAATCACTACGGCTTCCTGAAATAGCCTGAACCTTCACCCCATCGCCCCATTCGATCTCGCCATTTCCCTTTCCTGGGATCCTTGGCAGAGGAACTTCGATCGGCGTCCGTCATCCCCATCGAATTTCGAGTCTGCTGCAACTTCTTTAGCGCCAGCGGCACGTCACCCGATCCCTTACAGACTTCTCGCGCTTCAAATTAATCCTTTTTGTAGATTATGCGCGCCCTGCCACGCTTCCGCATCAGTGCTCTCGCAGGATCGCGTTCGCCTAACCGGAAACGAAGTTAATCCTTCCGAAGATTACGTTCACCTTTTTGCATATCGAAATTAACCATTTCGCGGACTTCGCTCGTCCGTTTGCAAATCAAATCCACCTTTAGCGAGCGAAATTAACTATAGCGAATCAAAGTTGGCCGACTTTTATCCAATGTTCTGATTTAATATGAATTTATACATTCATTTATGAAATTTTAACGAACTTTGTTACGAATTATTGATCATCGTGAATCTACAATATAGTTATTTATAACGTGTCGTTCAATTATTCGATTA